TCGAGTGCAATGTTAATGACCAAATATATTTTTAGATATTGAGCTTTCTATTACTACTAATAATAATAATATATGTTACCAACTTAGAAATCAAAGTGCATGCTGTGTCCGGATAGACATGTATCCAGTAATCAATCAAAATTGATGTACATTGGGACATCATCAACCTACCAATAATGCTTTTAAAAGCCAACATTTTAATAACGGCGAATCTCTAGAGCCTTGTGCAGACTATCAATTTTATTTGACGAAAACATGTGACATGCTTATATATGGTCACATCATTGTCATATATAGACACATCATGACTATATATGTGCATACAACAGTTGTTTTTTTTTTCAAAAAAATTATTCAATTCAAGGATTTTATTCAACAACAACAAAATAAATTTACATTGTAACCAATGGCTTTATTCTACTTGATCTGTATTATATCATTGTTATTTATTATCATTATTATTATTATTTTTATTATTATCATAATTATTATTATTATTATTGTTATCCATGTTATGATTATTATCTTATTAATGATGATCCCAGCGATGGCCCTGAAGTCGTATATGGTTGTAAATTCGAAACACTGAGGGCAGTTTCATAGCTTGTGTAATCTTTACCAAAGGTAATTCTGAGTACTCTCTTTTGTGTAGTTTCTAATTGGGCAATTTGTTTCTTAGTAAGGCCAGCATTCCATACTGGAACAGCATATTCTACGAGTGGTCTAGCTAATGTAACCCTTATATACTGTAATTAGATCAGCTACGTAAAGTTGGAACTTAAGTAATTTCAACATGTAGATTTTGCAATTTACCCTTTTCAAAATGTTTGAAATGTGGTCGTTCCGCTTTAGGTCAGAACTTATCAATACTCCTAATATTTTCATAGTTTGAAAGACTTCTAGGGTCTTATCTATTTGAGGAGCAGATGAAATTGGGATAGATTTTGTGAAATTAATGTACATAATAGCACGTTTGTCTACATTAAGCAATGTGGTAAATTTATTCCGCATATCAAACGCTGCAAAGTCCAACATTACTATAATAGAATATAATAAAAGACTCACCGGAGTGACTGTGAAGCAGACTAGAGAGTTGTTTAGTAACTTCTCAGACAGCGCCGAACGACGCAGCCTGACGCGATTTGTTGTCGCGTCGGTTCTGTTTGAGTTGAACGCGGACGATGGTTTGCGTCGGGGGCAGTCGCGTCGTAGAATAGTAAACATGTTTAATATTTCTCACGATGTAAGACTGTCCCGACGATGAATCCCACCATGAATCGCGTCGGGCTGCGTCGTACGACGCTGTCTGAGTTGGCCTTTACATGAAGACTGTAATTTGTGGGCATCTAGTACACCAGGAGATGATTGAGATGTCTATAATTTTTACATCATCGTTGCCATTTAAATTCCATGGCTACCTATGGCATTTTATTTTTTTTTTTAAGTAAAAGGGTCTTAGCAAAACCCTTGTTCAGATCTGTTAGAGTGCAGTTATTAAACAGCATTTTATAATTTCTTTACTTGTAATGTAATATTGCAAGTAAACACTATATATTAATATGTCCCAAAGTCAATTTGGAATGTTTTAAACGTGCATTTAGTTATCTTTGTCCTAATTTTTATAATAATTTACCAATTGAGCTCTGGGACTGCAAAATAGAAAATACATTTAAACTTAAGTTAAAACGATATATTTTGAACTCTTAGCCGTTGTTTATTGCTGTTTTATTGAGCTATTCTTTTTATTGCATTGTTTGATTTTATTCTATATTATATTACATTATATTATATTAGGCATTATAAATTAAACTTCAATTTTGAATTGTCTTTATGTAAGTCAATTTAATACTTTTAAGACTTGTTATGAGGATTGTATATTGTTATTATTATTATTATTATTATTATTATTATTATTATTATTATTATTGTTATTGTTATTATTATTATTATTATTATTATTATTATTATTATTATTATTATTATTATTATTATTATTATTATTATGTCGTAATGATGTTGTTTGTACTGTTCTTTAATTTTATTAAAGAGGGCCCCTGAATATCAGTTAACCTACTGGGCTAAACTGGAAGGGTTGAAAGATGGTTAAAATAAAAAATATATATATATATATATATAGTGTTGTTACGCAAATATACCAATGAAACTCGACGAAAAACAAATTGACCTGGAATGCTTTTGCATTGATAAATGATTTGGGAGAACTTCCAGTGATGGGCATTAAATAAGGATAACTTGACCTTTAACATCACCTTTATCTTGAAATAATTTAGGAGGTTTTTAAGAAAGATGTTCAAGCAATTGCACAATGAATGGTATATGCAACTTACTATTAATGATGACATGGTAATTACGAAAAAAAATTAAAATATGTCACTATATTTGCAAAATGGACAATAGGGTTACGCATCAGTTACATGCAGTTAAAAACTGTGGATGTATTAAAATTCCACATTTATTTTAGAAATTTCTAGTCTTTCGCTGACTTGATACACGTAGGCCTATATTATTTGAAACATACACAACCCCCAAAAACATTATACATAGTGTCAGAATTAAATGTGTCAGCAAGCTTCTTTGAAGCTTTGTCTTGTCGGGTACAGTACCTACAGGTACTGATTTGTTTGAAATTTATTTATATATCTCTATCGAAGCGTATCCTATTCATGAAAATTCTATAACATTGTTATAAGGTAGTAGAAGTCATGGGTAATTCTGAATAGCAGCCACAACCAATCAAAATTGAGTCTTAGATGGTTTCTTTGTGTTTTCCAAGTTTAACGTATTAGAGATAGGTTGCAGTGAGTCTGTAGTTAAGTGGTTTACCGTTGGGAGAGGCGACTGCCAAAGTTTCGATCTCCGCACATACTTGGTAAATATT